GCCGCCGTCCTTCCCAGCGAGGAAGAGCTGCTTGCCCGCCGTGCTGCTCAGCTGTTGTAGTCCGAGGGCGTGCTGCGCCTCCGCCGCTAGCGCTGCGTCCATGGCCCGGGCCTCAGCCTCCGGGATGCCACAAGTGCGGGCCACGAACGTGTAGTCAGAGCCCGTCTTGAGTCGGAGCAGCGCCGCAGCAGTCTGTCGGTCGAGTCCCGCCGCCTGCAGCTGGCGCAGCCGCAGGAAAAAGCGCGCGCGCTTCTCTGCCAGCGCGGACACCTCTGGGCTCCCCTCGGCCAGGATGCTCCCGGCGGCTGGGGCGACAGCAGGGGCCGCGGGCACCGGCGGGAAGGCCCCGTGCCTTAGGACGAGCGCCCGCGGCTCCACCTCCCACCGGCCCGTCAACGCGGCCACCGGCACCTCCCTGCCAGGACTCAGCTTGGTCTTCGACGGGTTGGGCCGCAGTCGTACTTCGGCGCAGGCCCGCCCGAACGCCTCCTCAGCGGGCTGCGCGGCCGCCGTGGCACAGACGACGTCGAGGTCGTCCTGGTAGGCGTAGCTCCTCCCAGGGTCCGTTTCGAGGCCCGCCGCGCGCTCGACAGCATCCACCACCTTTTTGTAGCAGAGCGGGAAGACCATGTTGGTCAGGCCGTCCCCTTGGTCTCCGCCGCGCTCCTTCGGGAGCTGCGTCCTCGTGCCGTCCCGCGCGACGTGAACGTGCTCGGTGGCGGTGCTCAGGGCCAGGCGGGTCCACGGGAGCAGGTCAGGGACCAACTCCTGAACCGCCCTGGCGGCGGCCTCGCGGCACAACTCGTTGTGAGCATTGCTCACGTCCAGTGCGAGCTTGCAGCACCCAGGCCGGGTGTCGAGGTCCAGGAGGGCCGCCTTGTGCATGCGCTCCGCCCCGCGTGCTTCCCCGACTGAGTACTCCTTGCCCCCGAGGGCTGCCGCGACCCTGCTGCGGAACACGCGGCCGACTGCTTTGGACGCGGCCCGCCTGTGCACGCCCCCCAAGGCGAAGGGGCGGACTTTGTCCCGCTCCTCCCGGTCGCCTGCCAGGATGCGCGCCGACAGCCATGGCCCGTGGACCTCCGCGGCATGGACCTCGAGCAGTGGTCCTCCTCCTCCTCCTCCTCCTCCTCCTCCTCCTCCTCCTCTCCCTCCCCCTCCTGCCCCTCCCCCTCCCCTGCCCTCCTCCATCGGTGGTCATGGGCGCTCTGGCAGGGCATCCCGCAATGTCACGTCCGGCCGCCCCCGGGACTGCCAGTGCCTCAGGCCCGTCCACCTCCCTAGCCTCAGGCCGCCCATGTGCCTGCAGGAGAGCAGCCGACCGCCACCGCGACCCGAGAGGCTCAACAAGGGCCCAAACCTCGGTGGATCACGCGTAACCCTCGATGGCCTGGCTGCGACCAGGTGCCCGCCAGGGCTACACCGAGGTCTGGGCCCAGATTGGCCCCCTGGGCGCTCGGTGATGGCGGGGCTCTCTCTCTCTCTCTCTCTCTCGGCCGATGCCTAGTCGCCGTCGCCCTTCTTGATCAGGTAGGTGAGGTGGCACTTGCCGCAGTAGTAGCGGTTGAAGTGCATCGCCATGAACACGCCTGGGCCGCAGAGCTCGTGGGGGCACTCGCGGCGCAGGCGCGAGACCTTGTCGCTGGAGTCCACCTTGTAGAACTTCAGCACCGCGAGCTTGACCTTCTTGCGCTTGTGCTTGATCTTCTTCGGCTTGGTGTACGTCTTCTTCTTGCGCTTCTTGCCGCCGCCCGAGAGGTCGAGGCCCAGGAAGACGGTGGAGTCGTCCTTGGTAGCAGCGCGTGCAAGGTGGAGGCAGGGTCAAAGGGGAGGCCTTCTGAGCGGACACAAGGCTTCTTGAAGGGCTCTGCCCCTCCTCCCGAGGCTGCCGAGAAGGCGCTTCTCGGGACCCTGACCTCCGCCAGTATTCGCTTGTTCAACACGCGACCCCCAAGACCCAAGAGAGCTCAGCATCGAATCGATAAGTCGGATCGGCGATCGAAAGGAATCGGATCGGCGGACATCAGCAGCCGAGCCGAGCAAAGTCGAATCGGCGGAAATCGGCAGGCTAGTAGGCCTCCCATGAGAAATCGGAGCCCAAATCGGAATCCGACGTCGAGGAGGAGGAGGAGGAGGAGGAGGAGGAGGGGGAGGAGGAAGGGGAGGAGGAGGGGGAGGAGGAGGGAGGAAGGCCACCTCGCTCGCCCCGGCCCCCCCGCCGTGCGCACACCGCCGGCGTCCTCGAGGCCGCAGGCGCGCAGCGTCGCCGAGCCGCAGAGGGAGCGCCCCCCGAAGAGCACGCGCTGCTCGCCGACGGGCACCCCGCTCAGCAGCGCGAGCCGGCCCTGCAGGCTCGCGACGTCGTCGTCGGGGCTCGCCTCCACGGGCGCGGATCGCCCCGCGAGGTCGCGGACGAAGAGCCGCATGGCGGGCTCTCGGGCGCCCCCCCCCTCTCTCTCTGGACCGGAGCTGCGTGTCGCGGCTCTCTCGAGCCGAGGCGGCGGCCGCACACCGGAGAGCCGGCGCGCGAGAGGGCCATTCCCATGGACCTCGAGCAGTGGTCCTCCTCCTCCTCCTCCTCCTCCTCCTCCTCCACCACCTCCTCCTCCTCCTCCTCCTCCTCCTCCTCCTCCTCCTCCAATCTTCGTGGCGCATCTAATAACTAACCACCTCGCGTACGACCACCTCCAGTGCTCGTCGTCAACTCCGACGCTCGAGTGAACAACTGATCCACCCGCCCGCACTCTGTAGGCAACACTCCACACTTCCCGTGCGGATCCTTGACTCGTGCGGGCGAATGCGTAATTATGATGATGATGATGATGATGATGATGATGATGATGATGATGATGATGATGATGGTGGTGATGATGATGCTGATGATGATGACGCTGACCATGATGAAGATGAAGATGATGCTGATGCTGATGCTGATGCTGATGCTGATGCTGCTGCTGCTGATGCTGATGATGATGATGATGATGATGAAGGTGGCACTGATGAGGAGGGCGACGACAGTGACGATGAGGATGAGTGTGATGATGACGGCTCTTGCGAGGATAATAACACTGGTGCTGAGAGGACGATGGGGAAGTGCCTACGCGCAGAAATTCTGAAACCCTGGTTGATGTTTTATTGAAACCAATGGTGTGCTTCCCACGTACTTGAACACCTGTGCTGGAATGCTCAGAAAACCAACGGTGTCGCAGCCTTGCGGCGTGCGCGTGCGGAGGCAGGAGTGTACGGCCGACACGGTATTGTTTGACAGGATGCTGGCTGGCGTTTTCGACACGCGTGCGCGTGCGGGCTGAATGTTACCTTTTGTCAGCATAGCGCAGAACAGCAGTGGTGTTGGTATGATTTCAGCGAGTGCGCGCACAGAAAAATGGCAATTGCTGATTCGAAATAAAAGCACTGTTGTCTGGCAAATGTTATTGACCATGCGCTGCCGGTCTGGAACGATCTTATGTCCATCAGGATGGAGGACCGTCTTTCCCAAATGGACATCTCGCCTGCGAATTCGCTCAATGTTTGCCTGACCAAGATAATTAGCCTGGCGAAGGGCCCGATCGTATGCAGCTGTGAGTACCGCAGTCATGAGTATCGTCTTCGGTGGAGCTCACTATGGGGCCACGAAACGTGCCACGAAACCCAAAGGGTGTGTGCCAAAATGTGGCGGCGCCGCCATGCGAACCTTGCCATTGGTGCCTTCTGTGAAACTCCCTACGGGACCACGGAGCGTGTAAGGAATGTGCCAAAATGGACAGGCGCCGCCATGCGAACTTTGCCTTCGGGGACTTCGGTGGAGCTCCCTTTGGGACCACGAAGCGTGTGAGGAGTGTTCCAAAATGGGGCGGCGTCGCCATGCGAACCTTGCTATTGGGGCCTTCCGTGGAACCCCCTTATGGGACCACGAAGCGTGTGACGGGTGTGCCGAAATGGGGTGGCGCCGCCATGCGAACCCTGCCACTGGGGCCTCCTGTGGGGTTTCCCTATGGGGCCACGAAGCGTGCGAGGTGTGTGCCAAAATGGGGCGGCACCGCCATGCGAACCCGGCCATTGGGGCCTCCGGTGGAGCTCCCTATGGGACCACGAAGCGTGTGAAGGGTGCGCCAAAATGGGGCGGCGCCGCCATGCGAACCCTGCCAGTGGGGCCTTCGGTGGAGCTTCCTCTGGGGCCACGAAGCGTGCGCAAGGTGTGCCAAAAGGGGGCGGGGCCGCCATGCGAACCCTGCCACTGGGACCCTTGGTGGGGCTCCCTATGGGGCCACGAACCGTGTGAGGGGCGTGCCGGAACGGATGGCGATGATGATGGCGACGATGGTGATGATGATAATGATGATTATGATGGCGGTGGTGATTATGATCCTGCTGATGATGGTGATGATGATGATGATGACGATGATGATGCTGGTGGTGGTGATGGTGGTGATCATGCCGATAATGATGAAGAGCTGATGGTGATGATGATGATGGCGATGAAGTAGTGATGATTTTCCGCTGGCGGCATGCTTCGGCACGACCTGCTGCGGCGAAGACGACGCCCCTTCATTTATGCATTCTCCCCGACAGACGGGCAGTGGAATCCGCGGCGCTCGCTCGACCCCGCCGACCTGGCCGGCGACTTCGCACTCGTCGCGACAGAAAAGGAAGCGGCTGCGAAGGTGCCAGCGCGGTGCGAAGGCAACTGCGCTCGGGCAGGCTGCGCGCAACCCAATCGCGCGCGCTCAAACGCTCGCGCAAATCTGCGAATTCAACGCGCGACTTGACGGCGTCGATCTTCTGCCATTAGGAGCGGGGACGGAAAAACAGCAAACGAGAGCTGAGGGCAACGAGGGAACGCGGGAGGAGGAAGACGAGGCCGAGGGGGGGGGGGGGGCAATGACGAACCCAAAAGCAGAAACGACAACGCGGGAGAACAAGAAACGAGAAGAGAGGCGACAGAACGACGGGACAAGACGACAAGAGGCAAAACGACAGGAGAAGAGCGGGTCCGAGGCCTCACCACGAAGTAGAAGCCGACGAACACCACGTATTCCCAAGAGACAACCAGGGTCGCCGAAGCCGTTGTCCACCACGAAACTACCGAGAGACAATCTGGGACGCCGATGCCGTAGAACACCGCATACTGTCCAAAAGACAAACTTGGTCGCCGAAACCGAAGCACACCACATACTGCCCAATAGACAATCTGGGATACCGAAGCCGTAGCACACCACTTACTCGAGAGACAATCTGGGGCGCCGATGCCGAAGTCCACCACGCACTGCCCAAGAGACAACCTGGGACGCCGAAGCCGTAGCACACCACATACTGCCCAGGAGGCGATGCCCAAGAGACAAACTGTGACAAACTGGGATGCCGAAGCCGTAGCATGCCGCCTCACCCCAAGAGATCATCGATTGAAACCCAACCAACGCGCCACATTCAGGACAGGCACGTGAGCACAGCAACCCTAGCTCCAGTCAGACCACATGTAAAAGAAAACATATCCTGCTCGAGCCGGTTGAAGCTGTCGGCCAGCCGCTCGAGATCATCAATTACCGAGCTGATTTTGACGAAACAGGCAGCTGGGAGCCTATGAACATATGCCTTCACGTGCCGACGCTCAGAGACCGATGCGCGTGGCAGAGTCAACTCACCAATGAAGCTCGCCACGACATGTCTGACCACGCTGCGTTCTCCGGCCCTCGCACCAGCGGCCACCTCAAGCGTTGGGAGGACAGGCGCGCGCGGAAGCGACGCCGATGCATCTCCGGCGCCCCCAGGGTGAACATCATGAGCGCGGCGATTTCAGAAGATCCTGAAGCGCGGGCAACTGGACCCATACAGCAGGAATGCCAACATAACAAGACAAGAGACCAGGACAGTGTTCCCGACCACCAGCACCGAGAGAACGCTCATCAGCAGCAACGCTCGGAGCATGAACGGCATGCCCATGTCGCCGCAGCACTTTGGGCTGTGGGCCGACACCGCCGCCAGCAGGCACAGATGCCCGTGGATTGCACCCGTCAGGGCCATGCCAGGGGTCCTGCGAGGTAGCGTCGCGACCACGACGTCCAGGACGATCCGAGCTGTCGTGCCCCCCACCAGGATTATTTATCCTCGCCTTGATCACCAGGACCTCCGCCGGCGCCGTCGAAGCGAGGCCGGTCGCGACCCGCACGGCCGACCCAGAACTGCACGACGCAGCACCCCTCGGAGCGCCGGTGCCAACGAGCAGTGGTGACCGAGCTTTCCACAGGCTGCCGAAGGAGGTCAAAGGGAGGACCCAGCGCAACAAGGAGAGCGGCGGGCGGAGGAGCACTCGCCGCCGCGGGCGCCACCACGACCTGCCCCTTGGCCCTTGAGGTGTCCACAGCAAGGCCGAGGGCGATGTGCACCGCCCTTCCAGACTCGGGCTGCCTCCGAATCCAGTCCACGCGCACCAGGCAGGGCATGGCAGCGCGAGCGTCCAGCAGGTGCAGGATAGAAGCCACCACGCCAGCAAATCGCAGAGCCAAAGCGGCGATGATAAAGTGATGATGATGGTGATGGTGATGGTCCTGGTGCTGGTGATGACGATGACGATGACGATGACGATGACGATGACGATGACGATGATGATGATGATGATGATGATGATGATGATGATGATGATGATGATGATGATGATGATGCTGATGACGATGACGATGCTGATGCTGATGCTGATGCTGATGCTGACTGATGCTGATGCTGATGCTGATGCTGATGCTGATGCTGATGCTGATGCTGATGATGATGATGATGATGATGATGATGATGATGATGATGATGATGGGTGCAGGAAGGAGGGGGAGGAAGAAGGCAGGAGGAGGAGAGCGCGGAGCGTTGCCTCATCAAAACGAGGACCCAACACGACAGGATGGTTTTTGGGGAAACAACCAATTTCAATACACGTAGCGCTGCACGGATCCATGGTGGCTCTTCTTCAAATTGGGCCGCCGCTTTAGACTTCATCGAAGCCCATCGCCGCCAGGATAAACTTGTGCAGCAGTTGCACGATGGGGCATTCTTTGAATGGGGAAGTTCGCTGGTCATCTCGTTGAACTGTATGATCCTTGTTCTTCGCGTCCCTGTTGCGCGCCAGAAGGACGCAAGGCCATTCTTTCTCAAAGCGGGCTTCTCGACGAAGTGGTAGGCCCAAGTGCGCCGGTAAGGGGGGCGCTTCATGCAGCGAAGAGGAAGCGTTGTAGCGGCGTATGAAGAAGAGGAGTTGGGATGGGAGGGTGCGTTGCAGCATCGCCTATGAATATTTGGACTGCTCTGGTCCTCCTCCCCCTCCTCCTCCCACCCTCCCTCCCTCTCCCTCTCCCTCTTCCTCTCCCTCTCCCTTTCCCTCCTCCTCTCCTTCTCCCTCCTCCTCCTCCTCCTCCTCCTCCGCCTCCTCCTCCTCCTCCTCCTCCTCCTCTCTCCTCCTCCCTCCCTCCTCCTCCTCCTCCTCCTCCTCCTCCTCCTCCTCCTCCTCCTCCTCCTCCC